TCTGCTTCTTTCTTGGTTAGAGACTGTAGTTGAAAGTGTTCATTGAAATTTGCTTTGATGTTGCAGCTATGGTTCGCAAGGAGATTCAGGATGAGACTGATAGGATTACTGGGAAGAGCAAACAGATATCTCCGGTTCCTATTCACCTTAGTATCTTCTCTCCAAATGGTCTGCTTTTGTCGTATTCTGTGGGGTTTTACTTCTTGTAATGCTCTTGTTTCTGGAACTAACATTTGATGTTTGCTTTTTTTTTTTGTGTGTTGTGTTACAGTTGTGAATCTGACCCTTATCGATTTACCCGGTTTAACTAAAGTTGCTGTTGGTATGATTTTTGTACCTTTTGTATTTCTTTATTATTTGATTGAGGTTTGAAACTTACTTATGATACTGTCTTTGGCTTTCAGAGGGACAACCAGAAACCATTGTTGAGGATATCGAATCCATGGTTCGCACATACGTCGATAAGGTGAGAATTGCTTGTACTTTGAATTTGTATGCTGATTTTGAGCTTTTTTGTTCAACTTTTGAAAATTACAAAACCATATAAAAAATCTTTTGCTAACCTTTTTCCATTTGCTCAGGCTCTATTTGTTCCTGGTTAAATGTTTACGCTGTCTTTTAATAAGTCTTGAGATGCTTTTTCCAGTTTCAAATTGGTTAATTCTGTTGGTTTGCAGCCCAATTGTATCATATTAGCTATATCTCCTGCTAACCAAGATATAGCTACATCGGATGCAATCAAGCTCGCAAAAGAAGTGGATCCAACAGGTTTGTTTATTGTTCTGTTGCAAGTGGATGATATAATTTGGCAGCAGTTCTTGTCTTTTGATGATGAAATAAGTTTTTGATCGTTCCAGGTGAGAGAACATTTGGTGTCCTTACAAAGTTAGACTTGATGGACAAAGGGACCAATGCATTAGAAGTAAGCACCTTAGTGATTACTCTATTTTGAGTGTTACATGACATCTTTTCAGTTTCATGCTTTTTATTTTTTTTATAGTGAGAAAAATTGATCTAACATAGAAAAATTCTTGCCTTGATAAGGTTCTTGAGGGAAGATCATACAAGCTGCAACATCCTTGGGTTGGGATTGTGAACCGTTCTCAAGCAGATATTAACAAGAATGTCGATATGATGCTTGCAAGGCGCAAGGAGCGAGAATATTTTGACACCAGTCCTGATTATGGTCACTTAGCCACCAAAATGGGTTCAGAATATCTGGCAAAGCTGCTCTCTAAGGTATTCAATCAAAGCATGAAACGGTTGTGACTTTATCTTGTTGTTTGATTTATTGGTTCTCAATTGCCTTATGGTCTTTTCATTTTTTATTTTGCAGCACTTGGAGTCTGTTATCAGGTCCCGTATTCCAAGTATCTTATCCTTAATAAACAAAAGCATCGAGGAGCTTGAAAGAGAGTTAGACCGATTGGGTAGGCCTGTCGCTGTTGATGCTGGGGTAAGTAATATATCTATATGAAACTATTTCTCTTCTATGAAGTTTACCATTTTTTTGGTTTGCCGTGGGCTAAACTTGTTGGTTTCTCTCGCAGGCTCAACTATACACTATATTGGAGATGTGCCGTGCATTCGATAAGATATTCAAGGAACACTTGGATGGAGGGTAAGCATCAATTTTGCTTATTGTTAAAGTCTTCTAATGTGGTTTCAGTTATTGATCTTTTTTTTCTCCTTTTTAAACTTAATGTTACATTTTTAGGCGTCCTGGAGGTGACCGTATCTATGGAGTCTTCGACAACCAACTTCCAGCTGCACTTAAAAAGCTTCCTTTTGATCGCCACCTTTCTCTACAGAGCGTTAAGAGAATCGTGTCTGAAGCAGATGGCTATCAGCCTCACTTGATTGCGCCAGAACAGGGTTATCGCCGTCTAATCGAAGGGGCTCTAGGTTACTTTAGAGGTCCAGCCGAAGCTTCTGTGGATGCTGTAAGTTCGTCTACACTGTCTCTTCACTTAACTTTTATATATACACAAGACCGTAATGAGTGTGGTGCAACAGGTTCACTTTGTCCTGAAAGAGCTTGTGAGGAAGTCAATTTCAGAAACCGAGGTACGATTTTTTCAAACTATTGATTTCTCAAGACTGGTAAAGCGAAAAAAGGGTTTTACTGAGTCTCTCTTATGGCAAAAATGCAGGAGCTAAAGCGTTTCCCTTCGCTTCGAGTCGAACTAGCTGCTGCAGCCAACTCCTCCTTGGAGAAATTCAGGGAAGAAAGCAAGAAGTCGGTTATTCGACTTGTTGATATGGAATCTGCGTATCTAACTGCTGACTTCTTCCGAAAACTTCCTCAAGAAATAGAAAGACCAGTAACCAACAGCAGAAACCAAACCGCTTCTCCTTCGCCCGCTACACCAGACCTATACGGAGACGGACATTTCAGAAGGATAGCTTCAAACGTATCCGCGTATGTCAGCATGGTTTCAGACACACTTCGCAACACCATCCCAAAAGCTTGTGTTTATTGTCAGGTTCGACAAGCCAAGCTCGCATTGCTCAATTACTTCTACGGTCAGATCAGCAAGAGAGAGGTAACAGTAAAACTAAAATAAAATGTCTCAAATCTTTCGGATCCTTAGAATCTGATTTTTCGTCGCAAATTTTTCACAGGGGAAACAGTTGGGACAGTTACTCGATGAAGATCCGGCATTGATGGATAGGAGACTAGAGTGCGCGAAGAGGCTCGAGTTATATAAGAAAGCAAGAGATGAGATTGATGCTGTTGCTTGGGTACGATGATAAAGCCTAAAGTATGTGTGTGTTTCTGATGATGGTTTTTGTGATTAGAAAACTTTAAAATCGTGTGTTGACTTGTAATATTGTCTCCGTTATGTATTATATATCATCGGAATCCAAACCCTCCTGTTGGGACGTTTTGTAATCATTTTTTTTTTTTCATTGCTACTTAAAAACACCTTGACGTTTTCACTTGAGAAGATAGCAGACTGTGCGCCGTTTACCAAAACCCGTTGGGACGTTTGAGCAGCTTTTTGATTATTCACTGAGAACGCTGTGTCGTCTTCGAAGATTATAGACTGGGCGCCGTTTCTTACCAAACCCGTTTGGGACGTCGGATGAACTGTTATGTTATCGAATGATATTGAAAACGCCTTGTCGTCTTGCTTTGGACATAGCAGAAAGCTTGCCGTTTCAAAGAAGCAGAAGATACTTGAAGATACTCTTCTTCTTCCTTAAGATTCTCTCTCACCTGAATCTTTGCCTGGACTCTTCAAACTTCTGCTTGATTCACCGTCGCGTCGCCTTTTTAAAATTCTCGGTAATCGTCAGTGACGGAGCTTGATTTTAGTATCCTTGGTGTGAATTTGCGATTCTACGTTATTGCTTTTTGATTTACGCAGATAGTATCAGTGGATCGAAGCTTGTAGATGATCATGGAAACTCCTGTTGATACTCCGATTATGGTATACCGTTCTGTGTACCCAATTTCATTTTCACTTCAAGTAATAGAATCTGGGTTTGTGCCCTAAATTCAATGATATTGGTCGGTTACAGGTCGAACATGAAAGCCCTAGGTGGAAGAAATCAACCGTGGTTTTTGTGTTGGGTAGTAATTCCACTCTTATGTAATCATGCTTTATTCTCTCTGAATTGTTATCATGCTTGAAGGTTGAATTTGTGGTGTTGAAATGGTTTTGATTGTAGGTGGTCCTGGAAGTGGAAAAGGTACTCAGTGTGCTAAGGTTGTTCAACACTTTGAGTATACCCATTTGAGTGCTGGTGATCTTCTCAGAGCAGAAATTAAGTCTGGTTCTGAATTTGGGTAAGCTCTGCTTCAGTGAATCTCATGACCTTTGGAATCATATTCTGTGAAATGGATCTCTCTTGTTCTTGCTTAGTCTTATTATATAATGTCAAAACTTTGGAAACTTTCAGAGCCATGATCCAGAGCGTGATTGTAGAGGGGAGAATTGTGCCTTCTGAGATCACAGTGAAACTTTTGTGTAAAGCTATGGAGGAAAGTGGTAATGATAAGTTCCTCATTGATGGTTTCCCTCGTAATGAAGAAAATCGGATAGTATTCGAAAATGTTGTAAGTGTCATTTGCCATTTCTCTTATAATTCACTGTATTCTCACTAATCCAAGCCTCTCAGTATATTACTTTCTGGATCTTGACAGGCTAAAATCGAGCCTGCTTTTGTTCTGTTCTTTGATTGTCCTGAAGAAGAGCTAGAGAAACGCATTATGAACAGGAACCAGGTTGGTATCTTAATTGAAAAATGATATCTGGTTTGGGGTCTTATTTCTCTTTTACCAATTGTTTCTTGGTTATGAAGGGAAGAGAAGACGATAATATTGAGACGCTAAAGAAGAGATTTAAAGTGTTTGTAGAATCTACCCTCCCTGTTGTTCGATACTACGAATCTATAGGGAAACTTCGAAAGGTTAGGATTTGATTCCTCCTCTACATGATCATTGACTATCACACTTTGTTCCTTATTCTTGTTTCTGATTCCTCCAGATCAATGCTGCTAAACCCAGCGAAGAGGTTTTCGAGGCAGTCAAAGATCTATTTTCATCATAATAAACTTGAGAATGTGAAGCTTCCTGCTCATCCAAGCATTTCTGTGTAGTCTTCGTAGATATTTAGCGTATCAGTTATTATGATTGCTTGGTTTGTTTCTATCTTTGTTAGGATCATGGAATCGCCGAAACAAAATGAAATAAAGACTTAGTGTCTAACTATCTCTTTATATTTTGCATGTTTCTCATTATGATATATCCCACATTTTCCTCATAATTATCTATCACCTTTAGGCTTTAGTTAGAAAACATTACAAAGGCATGTATCTGACAGGATGCAAGTATTACTGAGATGAGCTAGAAGATCAAGTTGTCCAGGACTTGAAGTCTCCGTGCAATAGAGTTTGTTAAGGGCCTATGCCTTATAAATAGACCCTCTGGTTCATTTAGAAGTTTCATCTTGAATTGTAGAGTGTCTAGATTCAAAGATCATCTTGTTGGCTAGTCAAGTTTAGAGGAGAACTTGACTAGATTTCTTGAATCCTCTTTTGATTTCAATAAGAATTGGTTTGGGTTCTTAACAGTATCACGTACTTAATGGTCAACATTTGAACACTTGCCTTAGATTGCGGTCAAGTTTAAATGTGACATTTCTTCTTCTAGATTACCATACATATATTATATATGTAAGTTCCTTATAGACACACACACACACTACAAAGAGAGCTTCTGGTTCAATTACTAATTAAACAAAATTTTCTCTTATTTCCTTGATGATGTTGGCTCAATTTGAGTGTAGATTCTTCAAATTCATAACCATTTCTATTTTCATTGTCTTGCTCGCGGTCCTATCTCTCCGTCTCTTCTTGAAATTCGCTACTTTCCTCGTTGATCGTCCTTGGCGTCGCTACCGCACATTCACGTTCCACCGTAGCCGCAGAAGGCATTCTCCTCCACCGTACTGCGCCGTGTGTCTACAAGAGGCAGAGGAAGGACAAAAGATGAGTCGATTGACGATTTGCCGTCACTGTTTCCACGTCGACTGTATCGTTCCATGGCTTTGCGAAATGCCAATGTGTCCGTTGTGTAGAGTTGAGATTCTGCCTCTACCAACGGTGAATCCTCTGCTCTTACTGTTTGTTCCGGCCAATGTGATCGATATGTTCAGCATTAAAAAGATAAGGGTTTAAGGTTTAACTCTTATGGGCAAAACTAGTGACTTACTATACAAAGTTTATTATGTTCATTGGTTAATAATACTGAAAATTTGATATGATTAGGTCGGCCCATGAACTTTCCCTCTGAATCCAAGTTTTTTTCATACCAGTAAGGCCCAAGACCTAATACAATCACTTTTTTATTTAGTATATACTACTAATTATATGAAGTTTAAGATTACATTTTTACAGATCTACTATAATCTTAAGTTCATATAGTAATCCGTGCAATGAATGTGGACAATAGATTTGAAAAACCATGAATGGTTCTTAGTGATTGCTATACATCAAGGACTTCAGAAGTTACATTGGGA